GGGAAGCCCACCACGGGGGTCTGGGCGTCGTGCTTGTGGTGCGGTATTTGAGAAAAGCCGAAGGGCCTCAGCAAAAGAGAGAGCGAGCTTAATGGGGTGGAGGCGGGGAGAGAAAAGGGACCCGTAGCAAAACGACGGCTCCTAACGATTGGGATGGAAGCCAAGTATTTGCAGACGTGTCCTGGGTTGATCTTGCTGTTATATGGTTGGTTTGATGAACTGCAGGTCTCCCTGACTTAGTCCCGGATCCCTATTACATCCAGGCGTCCACATATGTCCAGAGGATGTCCATGTATAACTTGAGATGTGCTGCCGAGGAGAACTGCCTGGCAAGGTAGGCATTGCTATGGCTTTTGCCTGTCTGCTGTGGGTTTTTGTGCTCTTGCACCCATCTCAGAGAACCTGAAGACACAGCGAAGAGTGGATACAACAGGCTGGTGGGACCGAGGAAACAACTGTTTGTAACCTTCTGCTAAGCCTGTGGCAGATGGTAGGGTGCATATGTAAGAAAACAATACCGCCGTATTAGAGAGACAAACTACAGATGCTTTGAAGAAACTATATTTTTGTGAAAAGTTATATTGCATGTTTCTATTACCAGGCTTATTTGAATATAACAGAATTCTGCAAAATGGAGGCACCTAAAACCCACACTTGAATCTGGTGATTTTAATCTCCTTTCTCTAACCCATCCAGATTGTATTCTAGTCCATTAAAAAAACAAAACCCAACTGTTCTTAACTAGTACAAGTTACTATTAAAATTATAACATGGTAATTGTTTCAGGGCATATGACTTGTAATGTCTCCTAAGACTAAAATCTTCCTGAAAAGTGTTTCAGAGTCTTTTAATGGATTGAAATAACAGCTTTGCTATGAAGTTAGGTCCCGTCCAGTTGGCAAAGAGGGATTTTTCCTGTTTTGCTTGGAAAGAAATCAACATGGCTGTTTTTAACCATTTTGAGTTCATACCTTATCATGCAAAACAGACTTATTTATTCATCAGCATCACTAATTGATGTCAGACCGTTTTCAGGGTCATGCTTTTTCTTCACTTGCTGGAAAAAGAAAACATGGCATGAGGAGCAGTACATTTTATGCTGACTTCATAGTGAAGACTGACTGAAATGTTCTTCCTAGCTAGCAGTTGATTAAAATATTCCTGTATGTATGACTGTAGATAATAGCTATGTAAAATAGGATAAGCCTGAGGCATACATTTATATGTGTGCTTTTTTATTTTACAACAGAAACAAAACATCTGTTGTGGGATCTTAACATCCACAGTGAGTTATTTTGGTTAAGAGCAACTAGTGAAATTGTATTTTTTGTACCAGAGTAGTTTTACAGCTAAGCAGTGATCTGCTTAAGATATAGAGGCAAAGAGTTAGTGGTTATATTATTAGAAGAAGATCTGGATCTTACTGAGGTCTAGGTCTGGCACCAGGCATTTCTGAGCACACCATGTGGAAATCTTGCACATCTCTAGTGTGTGAGCTTTAAGAGGACTGAAAAGATCTGCTATCAGTTACAATAGAAAGTGTTTTTTAAAGTGTTTCTTGCATATACTTACGGCTCTTTTTTGCATTATTACAGCTCAGCTTATCGAGCGGATGTTAGAGACTATGATAATCGGGTGCTCCTGAGATTCCCCCAGAGAGTGAAAAACCAAGGCACATCAGATTTTCTGCCCAGCAGACCTCGTTATTCATGGGAGTGGCACAGCTGTCACCAGTGAGTGAAGTGCTCAGTGTGGCACCTTCTAATTATCTTTTCCACTAACAAATTGTCAATTATAAAGTGGTATTTTCTAAAGCTGCAGTGAAGCAGAGGGAAGCCTGGTGTAAACTCTGGCTTTTTACCAATTCATTTTATGGCAGTGGTAGTTAACTCTTTATATAGCTGCATGAAACAAAAATGGATCTGAAGCTTAATTATAAATATAAAACACTTACAAGTATAAATTCATTATGAATACAAGTCTCAAATCACTTTTGACAGTGGCACCTGCTCCCTTTAATTATATTTTACATAGGTCTAGTTATATTTTAAGTGGAACCAGTCAGTAAAAGTCATAATCGTGTTAAAATAACTGTGGAAAACCTACAGTGTACATTTACTAGGTACATAAGTGATAACTTAATATTATTCTGTTATAAAAATAATACGTAATGTGAGCTTGATCTAAAGGCTGCTGGTGTCAATGGAATATTTCTCTCTAGCTTCAGGGTCTTTAAGATTATCTGCTTGTGATCAAAATTGGATGAAAAATCACTATCATTAGAACAAATTCTTTCAAAGAAAGATGGATATTACTAGGTTATAAATCTTGTAAGGATCAAAAACTAAAACAAAATCAAACCAAACAAGAAAAGTCTACATAAATGCTTGAGTCAACCCCCACCCCTGAAAAAAACCACCACCACCACCACCATCAAAAGATCCAACCTTGATGCTTATGGAGTTGAGAAATGGATGAAATGGATAGAGAGCAATTGAAATATTCCATTTGTAGAAAAGCAGTTTCTTCTTCTGCTACAATAGTCCAGCTATTCCTATCCAAATACAAAGTGTCTCTGATGTTAATTAATTTCTTTGACAGAAAAATACATTGCCAACAAAAAAAAAGTGTTTCTCTTGATCATTTCCATGACAGTCAAACAGGACCATTTGGAGATGAACTATAACTACCTATTAGTTTGGCTAGCCATCAGACTTCATTAGTCATCATCTCCTGTGGACTGGTTTCAGTGTTCTTGACATGTATACTTAAGAGACTTGCATGCTTCTCTTCATTTTAACAATACATTTGAATTCTGTTTAATTACACTTTTTTCATATACCTCTTTAGCTGAAGGCACTCATCACAGAATCACAGAATATTAGGAGTTAGAAGGGACCTCGAAAGATCATCCAGTCCAACCCCCTGCTGGAGCAGGATCACCTAGACTAGGTCACACAGCAGCAGCCAAATGCTGCACAGACAAAATGCAGGTAGATAGTCCAAACTTAGTTTTCCACATATTTGAAAAAGTGAAATGACAAGAATAATAGGTGTTCAAGTCCACACTAAGAGCTACAGTTCACTTTCTGTGAAAGGGAAAAAAAATGCATTGCTGTGCCCAGATTGACCGCATATGCACTTCTGAAACTGAGATTACATTAATTATAACTACAAAAATTGTTGACATCTGATAGGCAGTACATAGAAGCCAATTTCTTTATGCAGATTTTGTTTTCACTATTATTATCAATGTGTTACATTGATCGAGGACCATGGAAATAGCAAAGTAAATTGTTGAGTTTTTGCTAGCAAACTTCCCTGGAATTTATAGTATGTAAGGTAAGCATTCCAAGCAAAACTCTGCCTAAAGGCAGTTATAAGAACAATTCAAATATGAACTACTTAATGCTTGCCATTGTTACTGTAGAAGAGATGAAACAGGAAATTTTTGAAAAACAGTGCTGTTGCAGAATCCTTCCCTTAACCAATCAAAATCTATTATTTGCTTATAGAAGATGGCATTTTTGTAGTCACTGAAAATTAGAATAATGAAGATAAAACTTAATTGAATGGCCAGTGTATGGAATGGAAAGTGTACTAACACATGAGTTCTGTGTAATAAAATTTGGCCAAATCTAACAGAAGGTAGATGTCCTGGTTTGAGCTAAATAGAACTAATTTGAGGGGCCCTGCCTCTAGAGGGGTTAATAGCTTCTGCCCAGCATTTAGTGGCCAGCCCAGCCCTAAACCATGACAGCAGATCAAATAAGGATATGTTAAAATGGTATTGACAAGATCTGGTTCATCTTTAACATCTGTGGTTTAACAGACATTATCACAGCATGGATGAATTCAGCCACTATGACTTGTTGGATGCAAGCTCACACAGAAAAGTTGCTGAAGGACACAAAGCAAGTTTCTGTCTTGAAGATACCTCCTGTGATTATGGATATTATAGACGGTACGCTTGTACAGCACATACGCAGGTAAGAATTGGTTCAGAGATAGACAAGTTTGTTTTTCCCCTCTAGTTTATCTGTGGGTATTTTTGCTACCAGTGTAGCCTAAATCATCTGATGCCTTGATTAGCTCTGAAATTCTCCATCACAGGAGACGGGACAGCAACAGATTGTTAATTTATGCACGTGCTGCTAAATGTGTCTCAATAAAATGCGAGGACACTCATTAGTTACTCATCACTGGTAACTGACCTATATTAAAACACACAAGTTCTTAACAATTTGTAGTTATGGGGCTGGGCAAGCAAGCTAAAGGGACTCAAGACAGAGTCAGTAAAGAAGTAGTTTCTGCTGTTTATCCCTCACAGGCTGATGGCCTTGGCTGGTCCCAGAGTTCATAGCTAGTATTTTCTCTCCTGCAGAACATGAGGCTGCCTGCTGCTGAATTCCCTTAATAATACCTATAGCTATTGGCCGGCAGTCCAACACAGAAAATGTACAGCATTGTTTTATGTGTGTATAGAAGGCCATTAAGGAGAATAGCAGCCATGTGGACATTATGATTGGTCATACACAAACATTAAGGAAGGTGTCAGGGCTTATTAAAAGAGTAGATAAAAAAATGGAATATACCATTATGATGTTTTACAAATCCATGCTGGACTTCTGCTTTGAATAATGCATGGAGTTCTGGTCACGACCTCTTAAAACTGACAGAAAAAACTAGCAAACTAAACCAACCAACCAAATCGGGAGAACAAGCATGATCAGCAGTGTAGTGTGGCTGCCACGCTAAGAAATTTCATAGACTATTCCATTTGGAAAACGAGAAATAATACCAAATCTTGAGTGGATCTGGATGAAAAGCAGAAATTGCTGATAGTCACAGTTTCTCACAGTACACTAATTTAAGCATATCCAAAAGAACTGTCTGGTGACATCTTTAAAACAGCAAAAGTGTTGTTTTGACACATGAATAAAGTATTAAATTCCTTGCCATAAGACGTTCAGAGAACAAAAATACCTACATGGTTTAAAAAAAAATTAGACAAAATAATGGAAACTATTAAACACAATAATCTGGTGGTACCCTGTGTATTAAATACACTTAAATGCCTGGTGGAAGGAATTTTCCCAGGTAAAGGACATTACACATCCCATTTCTTACATTCTTTCTTAAGCATCTGCTGCTGGCCACTGTCAGAGACATGAGACTAAGCTTGATGGACCTATCGTTTAAGGCAGTGTGGCCATACTTCTACATAAACTTGTATCTCTTATTCTTCAGTTTTTAATCTAGGAGGTAGTTATTTTGTCACAGAGAAATGGCAGCTGTCCTTCACTGGCTGACATGTCCATGTTGGAATTTTAGATATAATGAATGATCTACAATACATGAAGGCTTTGAAGAGGTTTTAAAAATATCTTTTCTCCTTTTGTAGACTACGACATCTAACTAAGCAACACACATATTTTACAGCTGGAGTATTTGTGTCACTAGAATCATGGCTGTGTCAGCGTTTCCACTGGAAGCCCACATTTCAGGGGTTTGTAATTGGACTGTAAAACTTTCCTCTAGCCTCAGACTTGGCACACGCATGCAAGAGTCTGAGCTGATCACCAGCTGGGTCAGGAGGGAATTCCTGCAGGATGTGGGTTTTGTGCACTATGTGCACAAAAAATCTGTCCAGAACAGATCAGCTTTGCCTAAAGGAATCTGTATTGACCACGGTTAAAGACATCAGATTTGAACCATGGATACATTAATATCTGGAGATTCTTACTAATGTTCCTAATAGCAAAGAAGTTGTCAGAAAAGATTCATCTGGAAGAAAGACTACATTTTCAATTCTATTAGATTCTTGTGTCACTGTATTTGCCTGAAGAGACATGCCAGCAGGCCATTTCCATGCAAAACTAAATGTGAAAATGGCTCTAGACTTTAGTATTCAAAGAAATCTCTTTAGCAGAATACATCTAGAGCAAAAGGTTGCATTATACCTAAAGGTAGAGAATCACTTCCAACACGGTGATCAAGTTTGTATGCAGGAAACTCAGAAGCTATTTACTTTAGATTTGCAGATATTTAGGTCTTGTCTTTGGTCAGTTTTGATTTTATTCTCACATTTTGTGAAGAACAGTGAGCAAAAGCATCAACAATATTTACATAATAGTACTGCAACAAGTGATACCTCACAGATGGACAACTATCAATAGTACAGGTGTTCCTTACGAGTAGTGCTGTTTATAAAAGGCATATGTTATACTTATGTGTTCTAGTTTAGATATTCAAATCTAATGCCAGGAAAACGTAAGCCTCATTTCCTGAGGTAATTTTCTTAGTAAAATGTGATGATTAAGTGTACTTCAGCCTGTCACTAACGATATTACTATTCCCAGTATTTTTTTTGACATCCATCTTAACTCCATTTTTAAGGGACTGAGCCCTGGGTGCTATGACACTTACAATGCTGATATAGATTGCCAGTGGATTGATATTACAGATGTAAAACCTGGAAATTACATTCTGAAGGTAAGGGTTTTGGGTGTGGGGAGGTTTGGTATGGGGTTTTGTTTTGTTTTTTTTTAAGAAGCAAATCATATGCATATGTCCTTTTGAATGTAAGTTATCAATTCAAACCTTGAAGTAGACAACAGTCTGCTTTCTCCCCTTAAGGTGAGTGTAAACCCCAGCTATTTGGTACCTGAATCCGATTACTCCAACAATATAGTACGCTGCGATATACGCTATACAGGCCACCATGCATACGCCTCTGGCTGTACAATTTCACCGTAAGTACATTCCTTTGTCTTTGCAACTGTTTTATATTCATAGTACTAAAGCTGACACACAGATTTATTTTATATTGAAAAAGTAAGTCCCACCATTAATTCCAATGATATAAATTTCTTAGGTATGTTGTTTCTTGGGTTTCAGGATCTAGTGTGTTAATTCAAAATGCAGATGGTACTTCTTTCAGAGGTCTTTTTTGGCAGGAATAATGGCAACAGTTGCTTTGCTGTTGATAACTGCTTTCCAATCCTGACCTCCAGTAATTAAACTTTATTTCTGTAAGGCTAGCACTGATTAAAAAAAGTATTTAGGCTTGAGAAACCATCGTGAGAATTTTGCTCTTGCAAGGGTAACATCAGGATATATAGCACTTTCAAAATTGCTGCTACTGTCTGGGCTGCTAGATAACTACCTATGGCTCAGGCCTTCTTTGTATTTGCACTAAAACCTTTCTGTGCTCACTCAGTACCCATTTATAGCATCCACACAGAACTGTTGAGCAGTTACAGAGCTCTTAAAACATTCTGCAAAATCCCACGCATGTATGTTACTTTGCTGCTGCTGCTGACACAGCAGCCATCCTCCTTGAAACAATTCTTCCAGACACACTCCATTTGCAGTTTTGTTCTTTAAAACTTTAAACAATGTCACAATTATGCCTTTTTTTTTTCCCTCCAAAAGAGGCAAATCTGTGTAATGTTCTTATGGTAAATCCACTGTAACTTAGTATCAGTGAAATGCACACAAAAACCAATCAGTCTTCTGTAACACAGAGGTAAGCAGTTCTCAGGATAATACTTAGTTGCTCATGCAAAATATTTATTGAATGGTTTCATTTGTATTGGATAAGGAGTGGGTATTAACAATGCATAGAGGTTCATGTGAGAGAAATTCCAGAGCAGTAAATGAAAAGTAAAATAAATGACCACTATAGTCTGCTATAACAGCGTCGGTGAAACAAACATACTGAATTAATGTGACTATTGCTTGAATAGCCTTTTAAAATATTAATTCCTCACTTTGTTAACACAAAGCCAGTAGTTAAATGAGGCTAAAATGAGAAACATTTTTTCACATCAGCGTGGAGATCTGTATTAATAATCACACTTTGGTCATAAATGTGACAAGTTAAATGGCTTCAGCAAAATCCTCTATTTGTTCTCACCATGCGGTGCTCAGACTTGCAGGAAATGGAGGAAAAAACCCAAGAGGCATCCTGCAGGCCAAGAGCAATTATTTTTGGAAGACCTGTGGCAGGAGCTTTTAAAGCATTTCTCTGCAACAGAACTAATTGGTACTTCTAGGAAAACCGTTTCTCTGTGCATATCTACATGGAAGGGAAATTTACGCTTCATGCCTTTAATTTTCAGTCTCCTCATCTTACCTCTGTAAATGTCATCAAGTAAATATATTCGTGTGGGGTGAGGAAACAAAACTTATGTTTCTGTTTGTTGACCTGCACCTTCAAGCTGACAAACAGGTATTTTAGCAGATACTCTTTTTGTCTCTGCTTGGTCATCTGCATAACATTGTTTCTTTTATTTTGACAGATACTGAGAAAGATTAAAGAAAATGGATGAGACGGTGCCAAATGTTTTGAACTGAAGTATCATTATATAAACTTCAATAGGATGTAACACTATAGAAACAAAACTACAGAACATACATACATTACACCCACACACCTTATGTGATTTTGAAGCACTTAAGCTGCTTCTCAACCAACTCTGTAACTGGATTTTAAACATTTAAGTAGGCATTACTTTTTTTACTATTGAAATGTGTGGAACTGGTGATTCATGCACAGATACTCTAAATTTTGTAAAATCTAACTCATTCTTAAAAACATGTGTGTTTCTTAACTCCTGAAAATTTGGAGTTTAGGTGATAATAGACTTCAGTGGGACTGTTACTGCTGAGTGAGTTGAACATATTTTAAAAGGTATCAAAAATTATGTAACATGAATTAAATAAAGTGCAATAGAAAGTACTAATGTCAGCTATCTCAGAAAATACCATAACGAAAATCAGCTTAAGAGTAATGCTACAGTACCATTAAAATAAAACTTGCTAGGACACATTGATATGAATAAGAAAAGTATGTTTAGTTTTCAAGGAATATTAACATATAGCAGAGAAATACATATATAGAAATATATATATATATCAGTTATACCCCTGCAAAAAGTTATGTTTACATTTTTAATAGTACATTAGAGTTTTTTCCATTTTCTTAAGTAAAAAACAGATGAGGTTTTGAAAAACCTGTCATCTGTGGAAATGAATTAAAGAACTTATCCACCTTTCTGTGTTCAAGAGATTTTTCAACGTGGGGCTTTTAAAAGACTTCTGCAAACTTAATGTGTATAAAATAAAAACCTGTCAAGAAAAGGGCTCTTGGAGATAATGAAGAGTCTCTGATGTAGTTGTCTGTGAAAAACAACCAGCTTGAACAGGTTAACCATCAAAATAATACAGTCAATTAACTCAGGTGGCAGCACCACAAACAGAAGTAGATTAGAATCTCTAACAAAGTATTTTTATCGTGAAAGAGCCTACTACCTGCTTCCCGCATAAGTACTGTATTTGACTTTTAAAATGTTAATCTTGGTATTCAAACAATGAAGTTGAAAATATACTCTATATAGAGGGAGAACAAAAGTCAATGTATTTAACATCGTACTTTAGGCTGTTCAGGAACCAAATAGAACATTGTTAAGGGGAAAAACTTAACAGCCCAAATTAAAGCTTTTGCTGAACTGTATAACTGGTGCTGGGTACACCACTCCTCCTCCCATCCTCAAATTATTTTGCTTTTGCAATGCACCCTGCTGTAAGCTACAGTAGCTGTGATTTTTTTTTTTTTAAACTGTGAAATAATTTATCACAAGGGGATCTGGTGGGTTTTTTCAGAAGACTTCATGTAAAATGAAGGACCTACTTATGAAAGAAAGGGACCTAGAAATATTGATCGGTATTGGTTAAGTTTAATCAGCAGTTCAAAACATCTAATGAAACATGGAAAGCTTAGTATCTTAAAAAAACCAACGTGTGCTATTCATTGTTAAAAAATGAAATTTCTGAGGAGTATGGAGAGGTTTTATTACTACCACTGAGAATACTTAAGGCAGTATTTGGAAGTATTTTATGCAATAGATATCTATGGATTTAATTTGGAAGTTTTATGGATGACCATAATATCCTTTAAGGATCAACTTGTTCTTTATTATTTCTCTCCTAAATATTTACTTTCATGAATATTTAAGCTTATTTCATAATTATGACATATTTCGACTTTAATCATAACTTAGTTACAAATTTGCACAACTAGTATGTATACTTAAAAAGAATCTAAGAACCAGCAGCCCAGTGATCACCAGCCAACATTGGGAGTGGGTGTAGAATGAATACCATTTATACTTGCAGGTTCCTTTTTGTTTGCTGAGATCCATTTTAGCAGTGTCACCAGTATGGGCAACAAACAGAAGCAAAATTTGGAAATTAAGAGTTACTAGAAAGCCATTTATTACCTATGCCTGCAAAAATAAGGGTCTGTCTAGGCTAAGTCTAGGCTTTTGAAATCTCAGACCAAAGATTTTAGATTTAGATTAAAGGTGTTAAGGGATGCAAGTGCATTCACCTTTCTATAGACTTAGGTCAAAATTGGGGTGAATGTCCTTATAGCTGCTTGGGCAATGGACATGAACGCTACTGTAACGGATGCTAGGCTGTGGGCATGGGCTCCTTCCTGATAAGAGGTCGTGTGCTCGTACCTCGTTGTGCCTGATGCTGAACGTGGGCTAAGGGAGCACTAATGACACAGAGCCGCCACAGAAATTGACTATCCCTCAGTTTACGAGGCAGTAACCTGCTCACGTGTCTATACCCAAACTACTTGCAGAACTCCACTGAAGTCAGCAAGAAGTCAGAGGACCCTGAGCATCTGTGTAGGTGCAGCAAGTTGTAATACTGGACTTAGTCCTTTCAGTTGGAATGGCCTGGTTCAGAAAGGTGTTGAATGCCATAATATTGGGGATATTGTAGCTACAAAAATGTAGCTTTTTTTTTCCGTAGCAAAAATATTGTATTTGTTTTAAAGTATGTTAAGCAGCATGACAGTGATATACAATAGCACAAAAATTGCCTAAGATAACATGAACAGTCTATTTAGAAAAACAAGGGATTTTAGGATTAAAAAAAATGAAGGAATGTGACTTTACTTTCCCCTGTTTAACTACAGTGAATCAATCACAATGCAGTAGAAGAGTTTATTATATACCACGTGTAGAAATCGTTCTAAATAGAGGAGTGCCAACCAGTATTTTCAGTATCTTGGCTCTGCAGTTTTGACCCAGACACCTTAACTTACTTTTTTCCTACTGGAATATATTTATGGCATTACATGCATTTTTTTTGAAAAACATTTATAAAAACTGTTTTGATACAAGCTTATTTTATGCAGCAAACTATATTTTGGAATAATTTTTACCAGATATCGGGCTTATTCCCATAATCTTTGAAAGGCATCTTGCCACGGGTCTCAGTGGGAGCATAATCACATTTAAATTTTGTGAGAATTCTAGTACAAATTTGCTGTCTTGCAGTCTCAAATTTCCTTTGAACAACTAAATTGTAAAAACGTGTGTGAAGCAGTTACCTCCCACATTTCAGATCTTTAGATAAAAATTGCATATAAGGAACACATTGTATGCCAGGCTCATTACAGGAGGGGTTTGTTATATATTTTTTTTTAATCCTGAAATACATTTGGTATTTGCGTATTTCTAGACAAAAGTGTAACACAAATGACAGATTGGTCACCAATGGATGTTTTTGTGTTAGTAAAGTCTACTTGTTTTCTCTCTGCTCCAAAGTTTACTATGCAGTGTTGAATGAGTGCAAACACTTTATGTACATTCCTATAGTCATTCTTGCATTGTTTGCAGTGTTCTCATTCAGAATCAGCAGGGTGAATTTTATAAATGAGACACTGAAAGGTGGTT